TCAAGATATGTATCTGAAAGTGTAGGCTTCTGCATAATTATATTATATAAAGATGGCAGAAGTAGAGTTAATACCTCTATCCGGATTTATATATCCGGATATATACTATATCATGTGATATAGTGTGACATAATGCTTTTATATCTGGATATAAATAAATCCGGATTTAAATTTATATCCGGATTTATACTATGATAAAACCGGATTAATCTGAATATAAAAAATATATCCGGATTGAGATATTAACTCTAGGCAGAAGCCTACACTTTTCTAGATATATAGTTGGATATAGTATGAACTCGGACATGGTATGAAGGCTTCTGCAGTATTATTATTATAAAATATTGGCAAAAGCCTTAGATATGTAATCGGGTAATACTTAAAAGTCTCGATGACCAAAAAGGTATTCAGGTATGCATCCAAAAGTATAGTCTTCTTCGGCATCTTTATATAAAAAATTGGAAGAAGACTACACTTTTCCAGATATGTACTCGGGTGTGAGGTAATTTCGAAATTGCTTAAGAACAGCAATACATGGCCGGTAGGTGTAGAAAATTATGATCATTTGGGATCTTTGCTAACAAATTGACCTTCCGAGGCTATGTTGATTTTGTGAATAAAAATTAAATTTGCCAGCCATTTAGCAATCCAATTTGAATGAATTTTTTTTAATTTGTAAGTCTCAATAGAATCTACAAATTAAAAAAAAATTCATTCAAATTGAATAACTAGATAGCTGGCAAATTTAATTTTATTCACAAAATCAACATAGCCTCGGAGGGTCATTTTGTTAGCAAAGATCCCATATGAGTTATGGCCGTCATCGATTAATTTTGCCTAATTTTGTCCAAAATCACTAAAAATCTTACTAATGAAGTCATAGCCATTTATAAAATGAAAATTCCCAGCTACTAATTTCGCTATAGACTATGTTGACCAGTATTGTTTAATGCTGACCTAGCTCTGATGCATTCCCACCCAGAATTTTGGATAATGCCCTATAAAAAATGCGATAATTAGATATTAGACATTTATTTATTTATTGCATAAAAGAATAATGCTACTGATATATGTATAATTTTATTCTGAAAAATTTTAGTTAGTGACTTCGTGTATTACAGTATATAATTTATAAAATTAAAGGTCTTAATAATTGATAGAATATCTAATTCGTTGTATAATTTCTACCAAATTTTAATTGGTCGGTTGTCGCGTGCTCTTTAACAGTTAATATGACCAATCATTCAATTTATGGTGGTTTGCAAAAGGTGTGACCTTTACAGATCATGATGTCATGTAAAATCATGAGAAATCAGCCGATTTCGAATAAAATATAGAATTGAAATCTCAGAAAATTTTCCGCTATCATCATCACGAAATCACAGGGTCGCACCTTTTTGCAAACTGTCATAATGCGATCAAGAAAGTTATCCTATATACTTCCTGTAATGTTCTGTCTGAATCGGTTCAGAAGACATTTTAAGAATCCGTATCCGAAATCGATGGATCCGAAACCATAAAAATTAATCAGATCTGACCCGGATTGAGTTAGTATATTTATTGTAAATGGGATCGGAATTTTGTGGATTCTGAATCCACTTAAGTGAGTTTTGTCGACCAATTTCGCATAAGTAACCAATCAAATTCGTGTTTAAATCAAATTCGTAAGTTTTGATCTATTTCACAGTTCAATTAAAAACTTATAATTGCAGAACTACATGACCCTACTAATACTGTACAAATTGGAACTACAAAATATCATATAGGCGGATTTGACTCCAATTAATTATATCACATGATGTGATAATTGGGTTTAGAAACATTATGACATTAATACTGTACCGTAAATATATATAATATAAAATTGCACAAAATTTATTACACGAAGGATAATTTTTAAAGCTTTTAATAATGCAGTATATAATTCTTCTATTTAAGAAGAAATATAATAAATTTATTAAAAATAACATAGTAAGTCTAATTAAAAAAACATGTCAAGTCTCTAAGAAAATGAATATTGAATGCTATTACTTTCAAAATTGGTTTCATAATACAGTATTTTTACTAAGAGTATTTCACTTTACACCTGTACTTTTAAAAATATTTGTTTTGTAATAAAATATTTCAAAATTTTTGTCTCTCGATCTTCTACATAATTCATATATATAGCGCAATAGCCTAAAAACTTTAAAAAAGAGATTTGTAAATATGAAGATACTAAAAAAATAAATAAATAAACAAAAGACAGAAAATCTGATATAAAATCTTATTTAAAAGTTAATATTTTTAGTTTCAATACCTTTCACTCATTTCTACCTATTTCTACTCATTTCTACTCATTTCAACAAAAACCCTTCTATAACCAATCTATAAACCATGATTGTGAGTAGATTCAAGAGAGATAATTGTTTGTGATTGGTTTAGAAATCATCTGATCATAATATTGATTTTTAGTGTAGGACAAATTCATAATAATCACAAATTTTACAAAGAACAAATTTATTTGATTGGTGCAAATTTGAAGATCTTATTTGCAAATATCACAAATAATCATCAAATGGAGTCAAATCAGCCCATATGGTCAGACTAATCTGCATTGATTTCTTTGGTTTGATTGGCTAATCATCTGACGCACCTACATATGTACTGTACATTGAGGACATGATAACTAAACTTTCTAGGCTAAACTAACTTAAAACACTATACTATTCTACTAAATCAACTAAAACTGTGTATCAAGACTCCTAAAATCTTGATGTGGAAGGCGGAAAGAGGGCGTGGAAAGACTTGATCTGAGTTTCAAGATCTTTTGGGTCTTGTGGTGATGTTTCCAGGTCTTGAATAATACTCTTGTATCCTTTTTGCTTGTTATTGTTTCATTGTATTAGATTTCTAATATTAATACTTCTAATTCTTTAATCTTGGAATGTTTGTTCTTTTCGTAATCACGCGTTACATCACTTGGATAGCTGTGTCAATTGGAAGTTTAAATGTCCAACTCAATCTAAGATCTACATCACGGGTAGATATATCGGAAGCAGATCTTTAATTTAACTGATGAGGCTAATGTCACGGGTAATTTCAAAGATCAATTAATTGTTTGATCAATTAATTGATTGTTGGCTTAATAAGTGATAACAATGTGTCATGAGAAAATAAGATATTTAATAAGTGTATTTTCGTTATATTAACAGGGTTCTATCTTATTATTTGACACTCTTTCTTATACTTTGACATTTTTCGATATAAAGAATAATGTGGTCATGGAGACAAAAGTTATTCGATAAGTATAATTTGTATTTTATGTTATGTAATTTTAAAGAGAATTGTCTGGTAACACTTCTACTCTAATTTTGAAGGTTACAAACTCAAACTTCACTTTTTCTCAGGTTTTTCTAATAAGCAAAACTTCTACACTATTTTTAGGTCAGAATTTGGGTTGATTAGGAACGATTTTGGGTCAAGAGGAAAATAATTTTAAGGAACAACTTCTACCAGAGTGATTTCGAAGTTAAAACTCAAGTGAGAGTTATCTTTATTTTGGGGCGAGCAAAGAGCTCTTTTATAATAAAATTTACAGACTTAATTCGATAATTTAATTCACTAAATTCACGAAATTCACGAAATTCACTTAATTCACTAAATTTACTTAATTCACTAAATTTACCGAATTCATTACCTTAAAAGGAAACTTCACCCATCATACCAAAAATAGAATAACAAATAAAAAAAAAGATACAAAAATAGAAGAAAAATGGTAGATGTCCGACGCAGCCCGATTTCGGGTATGATGACATTAACCTTAACTGTCACAACGTATGTACGTACGTACGTACGTGATATGAAAAATCAATTACAACTACAGTATAGTTTATAATTAATCGACTGGTAAAATTTTTACACTACGTTCACCTATATCATCGCCTAATTGTCATCCGATTGTGATTGTAAAGCGTATTTCTTTAATTAAAAATTCAATGCTAAAATCAATCATGTGATTGTATGCGAACATCATTTTGCAAATCGTAATTAGAGTTGGATCCGGATTTATCCGTATTTAATCAATAGATCGGGATTTAACCATTAGATCCGGGTTTAGTCATTAGATCCGTATATATTTGTAAAATCTGGATTTAGATATATAGGCACATTATCTCTGTTCACTCACGAATCTGTTTCAGATATTAACGTTAATAATGCTAAATATCATTATTAAATCCGGATCTAAATTAAATCCGGATCTAATAATTAAATCCGGATCTAACAATTAAATCCGGATCTAACTAATTATTATTGAGATTTGCAACTCATTGATCGTTTGAGTAATGATCATCACTCCACGATCGATTGTTGTAACGAAGGCATATGCTTAAATTACATCAAAAAAATCCTCTGAGGTTGAGTTCTGATCGATCTTATTCTCAGAAAGGTCATTTGGCGCTCTTAATGTAATAGAAATATTTACTGCGTCACAATCACAATCGGGTATGATGCAGTAAAATGCTTCTATTACTTGTAAGAGCGCCAAATTACCTTTTGAGAATAAAATAAGCCCTAACCCAACCTCTAAAATAATAGATCAGAAATCAGCCTCAAAGGATTTTTTGATGTAATAGAAGCGTTTATCTTCGTCACAATTACAATCGATTGTGGAGTGATGATCACTCTTGTAAATTGTAATAAAGTACGAATAAACATAATCAAATCCGGATCCAAAACTAATCGTAACTTAATAATTGATAATTATGATAATTGCCAACATAAACGAATCAGATTGTTTAGTTTTTTTGGTTGGTTGGTTAGTTGGTTAGTCTAGTTATTTGTTTAGTTGGTTGGTTGATAAAAATTTTTAAATGACTAATTGCCAATTATAGTTGCTAAGTCAAAAATTAGTGACCACTTTGGATGATTTCTGTACAACTGTGAATATATATAAATAATTACGTAATTACGATACCGTCGTTATCATTTATAACAGCTAACAACAGAACTGAATCATAATGGCAAGAAATAAAATAATTCGAATTTCTGATGCTGACGATGAAAATAACTCATTGATCAGTGAAAATAGTAGAACTAAACGATCACGACGACGCTCTGGAAATAATGACAAAGGGAGCATCTGTTGGAAGCATTTTGAGCCAAAAATTCCGAAAGAAGGAGAAGTTACAAAATGCACTATTAATGGATGTAATGCGGAATACATATGGCGTGGATCAACTACTAACCTTCTCCGCCATCTTAAGACTAAACATAATATAACATCCACAACAGCTACTCAACTATCATTAACAAACGATAAGGAAGTTCTATCAGTCATTAAATTTATTGTCTCCTCCGTATTACCTTTTAACTATGTTGATTTTTTAAGATCTTCTGAACTCATTAATCAACAAATTACTCCTAGCATTATAGAAAAGCAAACAGATAAAGTACATAATCGCTTATTCTCTCAATTGAAACCAAAAATTCAGCAAGCGAAATTTGGCATGGTCTCGGTTAGTATGATAAACTATGATGAAATTGATGAACGTATCATGATCACTTATGATTGGCTAACTGAGGATTTCGAATTTCATAAAATCCTACTGTATGTGGAATATCATATGGAATCCTTCGTCGATTTTTTGAAAAGTGATACACTTGTTGACTATATTATTCAGGCTTTAACTAAGTGGGAATTAACTAGTTTGAAATTTATTAGCTGTAGACCAGAAGACTTCGATGTTTTTAATGATCTAAATAATAATCATCTTTCTGATGATATGCTGAAAAGAAAAAATGAAGATATTATCATATGCTTGAACGGGAGCAATGAAGCTTTTTTAATAAAGCACAGTTTAGAAAGGTGGGCCAAAGAAAATAGTGATACACAAGAAATGATTAATATTATCACTTCTATAGTGAATGCTATCGATATAGATGCATATACATTTCGTTCAGTAGCGAAGTTTTTGGAGGACAATAGAGTGCAAAGAATAATAAATGATATCCAAATTGTGGAAAAAATTAGTTATTATCTTAACTTAATAGAGCAACCTTTAAAGGCATTAATTAATAATCATAGTAATATCGATGATAATTTTATTAGAGAAAATGCAGAAATTAATTATCATAGTAATATCTATGAAAATTTTATAATAGAAAAAGCAGAAATGCTTAACATTAGTTACTATCATAAATTAGAATTTCTTAACTCAATAGAACGTCCTTTAAAGGCATTAATTAATAACCATAGTAATAGCGAAGATGATTTTATTAGAGAAAATGTAGAAATGCTTAAAAGCCTTTTATTAGATGAACTACCATTTAGCATATTTCCTGAATTATTACAATTATTTCTGCCTTTGAAAGATATTGAAGTCGTCACTCTGAGAAGTCTTAGGGATATGTTAGTTGAAGCATTTAACATTTTAAATGAGACTTCTCAGTACAGTGTGATGACTCATCAGTATCGTTGGGAACTTAAGACCCTCAAATCCTTTCTGACATTTTTAATTAATTCATATCTGAATCTCCATCAGAGAGTAGGTTTGTTTTTAGATCCACATTCGAAACCAATTTTCATTAATGATGTAAGTTTTATTTAAATTTTAACATTGTTGAGAACATAAAATTATAATTAGTGCTAAAGTTTTCATATACATATCAGCCAGCGGTTAAAAGGCTTGTGTTAGATGAATGCCAAAATTATTATTCAGAAATCGCCAACATTTCTGGAATTAATTTGAATAAATCAATACAAGACTCAGCACATGAAGAATTTGAATATTATATTAATCGCTCACAATTGTTCTATAATGAAAGTGATGATCTATGTAAATGGTGGCAAAAGTCAAAAAATATATATCCTGGATTAGCTACACTCGCAGTAAAGTATTTACCTTTACTAAAATTAGATAACGAAGAAGTCCTTTTTGAAAATATTGAAAAATTTTTTGACGCTTACCAGAGTATAGAAATAGTAGAAAAAAATGGCATTTTTACAATATAATATGAAGAATTTTGATATATGAAAATGCAATATTTACAGTATTTTCTATATTTTTTTCATAGAAATTATTTGTCGTTAGAGTTAGTAGAGAAATTTGCAATATTTATTCTAAATGCTATAAAAACATACCAAAATAGTATCTCAACTGTTTTTTTTTTTTTTTTACGTATAATAAAGTAGGTGAAATTTAGGATTTATCTCAAAACATTCCTAGTTTTTTTTGAATTTCTTCATTAAGAATTTGTCAAGCACGAAGCTTAATCGGAAGCTCGTTGACATTCGCAATACAGTCAGACCCTAAATGCAACTTCTCTCAATGCATAACCTCAGGGCCTATAAAAAAAGTTGCATTAAGGGAAATATTACATTTCAGGAGATAAAAATTTTTATGTATCATATGAATTGGGACCAATCTAATTTAAAAGTAAATTATAAGCGAATAAAATAGAGCCTATTTAATTGTTTAATATATGCATCATTTTGTCCTAAAAATATTAAAAACTAAATCTTAGCTACCGTATTTTCACGAAATAACGCCCACCTGCGCGTTATTTTGAGTATATGCGCGTTAATTAGAGTACGCGCATGGGCGTTATTTTGAAGCAAAGGTTGGTTTTTTTGATAAACCTGATTTTCCAAATAACGCCCATATGCGTTATATATAATTTATTTTATCAATTATTAAATATTTATCCTGTGTAAATAATATAAACCTGTTTAATTTTACAGTTTTATACGTATTAAAGTTTCGTTAATAATAAAATTTCCGACAAAATTCAGATTTCATATGTGGTGCGCGTTATTTAGGGACGCACATGGGCGTTATTTTGAGACATCGCATACTATTTTAGGGGAGCACGATTTTCTAATTAACGCCCATGCCCGTTATTTCGCGAAAATACGGTAATTAATTTCATTATACTAAGATGTAAAGCTAATTACTAAACGATTTCTTCATATCTAAGTAAAGGATTGATTTAAGTGTTTGTAATCTATTTAATAATACTATTACGTTTTTTTCGTAAGTTGACTATGAATTTTGATGTTTTCCTAGATCACTACAGTAAATAGGCATATCTAGCTCGACATGCAACATTGGGGTGCGCGCAGGGTTGGCAATGGATAAGCTCCATTGGGAAAATTAGCCAATGGAGCCAATGGAGTGAATGGATAGTATCTATTGGTTCCATTGGCTCCATTGAATTAACCAATCAAATTTACATTATTAATCATATATATATATTAATTTATAAAATTATTAATAACTTTTGATCCACTGATCTGTTTTGAGTGATTTAACTACCAAAATGT